GCACACCCGCCAGGCGTTCTCTGTCTATCTGTGTGTGTCATTTCTCTGTTCTTTCCCTTTCTCTTATTTTTCTTTCTCTCCACCCGCCCCCTGCCACCCCACCCCCGTGAAGCCCTCGGCTCTTTTTGTTCTGTCTCGGGTCCCTCCACCTTGGGCCCGGTGTGAGCCACCAGCATCTCGGAAGTAGCTGTCCTTTGTCACGTATGTGTTCTGTTTTGCACAGCTTCACTCTTGTTTCTCCTTGGACTGTGTGGACTTGAGTTTTGGGGTGTCTTTCACAGGAAAGGCCAGAGGGCTCCCGTCTGCCTCTGCCCTTGAGTTGCAGGCAAGCCCACTGCCTGGCAAAATTATGATGTAGTAACCTGGTACTGGTTCCTGTCAGCCTCCCATTCATTTCCTTACATCACAGCTGGAGTGGCCTTTGAAAGGCAGAACTGCCATCTGACTCCCTGCTTAAAATCCTCAGTCTTCCAGGGTTCTAGTATAAAGTCCTGCGCATAGCATTCTAGCAGTGTGTAGCCTGGCGTGCCCCTCCTTCCTCTTTGACCCCTCTCTGCGGCTCTTTCCTCCAGAAGCAGAGGAAAGAGCCGCACACCGGCCGCACACTGCACACCTCTGCACACCGGCCCCTGTCACTCTTGTAGCATTCTGACTTCGCATGTACTGTTTTCTGCCCTGTAAGCCCGTCCTTTGCCTGCCTCTGCTCACCTCCTTAGGTTAGCATCATATGTCCCTCCAGGGTTCAGTGTACATGTCCTCTTGGCAGCTCTACACGTTGCTGTGGCATTTGCCAGTTGTGGTTTTCTTGTTTGTCTGGCTGTGCCGTCACATGTACCCATTTTGAATGGGCAGGGGCTGGCTCCTGTATGCATATGTCCCCAGTGAGATGCCTGGGGCTCATGTTTGTGGAGTGAAAGAGTTAAACAGGTAAAGTCTGACAAGTGTGGATCATCTTGCTTGGGAGATAATGTAGAACGTAATTCGTACAGCGTAAACTTCTGAGGCTCCCCGAGCATCCTTGAACTGGGTTCAGGAGCAGAACTAGAATCAAAAATTGGGACCCTAGTACTACTGCGTGCTGCAGAGCAGTGGGAAGGGCTGGGCCCCCTGAATGGCACTGCTGAGTCTAAAGGAAAACTTGGGGTAGGCTTGCGCATAGGCTGATAGCAGGCTGCAGCCAGCCGTGCATTTCGTAAATGCTGAGAACCAGCAATGCACCAAGAATTCGACTCAGCAGTGGAATTTGTCCTGTTGGTCTGGTTCCTGGTGTGATGTGAGTTCCTGGTGGCGATGTCGGTCTGTGAACCCATAGTGAACCTTCATTGTGACAAGCACTCTCGATAGTCCATCAGGCCGAAACAAGGCCACGTTGTGGCAGAGATGGGGTTCACAGAGGTTTGCCGGGAGCACAGACCTGCAGGGGTGGATGGGAGGGAAGAGGGTGGTGAGGCAGGAGGAGCTGATGAATGTGAAGGCAGAGTGTGAAGGGGTCTGGGGTAGCCAGGCAAGCAGAGGTGTTTGAGCATGTTGAGTACATTCGTGGGAGCAGGAAAGTGGAGCCATAGATGCTCCTGCAATGGCCAGCCTCTGTGAGGGGTGTGCGGCCTCAGAGGGACTTGAGAGAGATGGCAGTGGCAGTGGGGATGGTAGCTGGAAGGGAGAGGATCTATCAACAGACTAGGGAAGAATTTGCCATTAGCTAGGTGAGGGAGCCTATTCATTTTGCATTTTTTGAAGCTAAATATATTATGTATATAGTCTTTATCAAAAACCTTGTTTAATAATTCATTCGTCTAAGGGACTTAATTTTATGTTGGTTCTGCAGTTCAGCTGACAAGGAGTTGGGGTCCTTTGTTTAACCTGCTGTTCAGAGCACGAGATCTGAATGTTGGGGTTTATAAATAAAACGCACTACATAAATTTTGTACCAGTGATTTGCCACCTAATGGTCGTAAGTTAATTGTAGCATATGGAGAATGTCCAGCACAGCGTGGAATGCCTAGTGATGAACAGTATTAGCTTCTGCTTTTATCTTGTAGTTTTTCTTCAAAGGTTCAAAGTATTTCACAAAGGGAGCCTTGACTTTGTGAAGGCCTTCCTTCAGCCCTTGCTGACTTTGAACTTCCAGCCAGAATTCTGCTGTGTGTAGGTGTGCTCACTGGATACTAATTTGCAGTTTTTTTTGTGAGTTTTGAAATTTGGTCTTGTCTTCTCTGAAGAGCAGGAGAGCCCCTTCCCTTCAGGGCTTTGGTGAGGATAGAAATGCCAGGTAATGTGCTAAGCCGAGTACCTGGCACAGAGCTGGTGTTTTCCTTCTCTGGGCTGTGAGGCCTGGATTCCTCATGGGGTATAGGGATCCTCCTCAACACCTGGTACATAAGGAGCAATAGAACTCGACCTTTGAGCCAGCCGTTGAAACCGATTCCTTGTAGGTGGAGGTTATGCAGCAGGGAACGCTGTTACTCTGAGACGGAGGCTTCTGTCTTGGAGCTGATTCGCTACTAATTTTCTTAGGGAAACAGAGGTCCTGTTCAGCAGCCTACCACAGGGTGGTTAATGTGAGCGAAAGATACTCCATGTGGATCACTGTTGAATGCCCTTGGCACCAAGCTTAACTGCTACAAATCTTTACATCTTAGAATTGAAAACAAAGCAAAACAGACTTTGTGGGTCTGGAATGGCCGGAGTATATGGCCTGGAAAGAGCCACTCTACCCAGCGTTGCCTCAGTTAATGGAGTGTCCCCTGGCTGACTCTCCCCCTTGCTCCTTCAGTGCTTCAGATAACATCCCGAAGGCAGACGAAATCCGGACCCTCGTCAAGGACATGTGGGACACTCGTCTAGCCAAACTCCGAGTGTCTGCCGACAGCTTTGTGAGACAGCAGGAGGCACATGCCAAGGTAGGTGCCACCTCGCCTGAGTGCTGGTGGCCTTGATGTTGCAGAGTTTCACAAGGCATCCTGTCTGCCGAGGCTACTGTAGGCAGGCATTACTAACTGTGCTTTTTAAAAGGTTCATTGGTTTCTCATTTTTATTCGGTAGAGTTTGCCTTTTTCTCAAAATTAAAAACTTGTTTGCCAGCTTGGTCTGTTTTCTTGTTTTAGCTGGATAACTTGACCTTGATGGAGATCAACACCAGCGGGACTTTCCTCACACAAGCGCTGAACCACATGTACAAACTACGCACAAACCTCCAGCCTTCGGAGAGTACCCAGTCTCAGGACTTCTAGAGAAAGGCCCGGTGCAGGCGGCTTGCTGGGGCATGTAAGTGCTCAGGACATGAGGTACTTGTGGTTCTGGAGCTCTAGAAGTACTTGTGAATGCGTGAAAAACGTGTGAAGGTGCGAGGAATGGATTCGTGACATTGCTGGAGAAGCAAGTTTGATTCGTCCTTAAAACTTAGCTCCCTGGGACAGTCTTCAATTCCACATCCGATTCTAGAAACTAGCCTTTCCCCCACCCTCTTTTGAGAAAGAAAAAAGCTTTAGGCAAGTAAGTTATTCTCCCTAGCAGAGCCGCTTGGGTCTCCTACGTAGAAACTGCCACACTCGGGTTAAGTGTTCAGTGGCTGTTAGGTGTAAATACAGCAGGAGCGGCCGTGTGGCCAAGGGCTTATCTTCCCCCCTTTTTGATCCTGATTTTCTTGGGCTAAATTTAGACTCTCCCACAGAGGTGGCTCCCAGAGGATGGCAGATGGTGCAGCTAAGGATGCTGACCACAGTGAGCCCAGACCCACAATAAAAATGGACTTGGCTCTGACTCTTAAGGTTTTGTCCTGCATAACAGCCAAGTCAAAGGACTGAGCCCTGTGGCTGAGATGACCCAGTCAACTGAACTGAGGTGCACAGCAGTCCACTGGAAACTGCAGACCAACACCTGGGAGTCTCGTGCTCCGGGCTGTGTGGCTCAGGTTGAAGAGGAGAGTCAGGAAAATACGATTGGATGTATTAAGCACGAGTGACACTTAAGACGATGCTAGAAGAAAAGCAGACTTTTAACACTGCTTTTCATGGACTCAGGACTTTTTTTTAAAGACTGAGTCATGCAGTAGCACAATCTGAGCTCACTGCAACCTCTGTCTCCAGTGTTCAAGTGCTGCTCTGCCTCAGTCTCTCGAGTAGCTGGGATTACAGGTGCTGCCCAGCTAATTTTTCTGTATTTTTAGTAGAGATGGGGTTTCACCATTTTGGCCAGGCTAGTCTACAACTCCTGACCCTGTTATCCACCTGCCATGGCCTCCCAAAGTGCTTGGGTTATAGATGTGAGCCACCGTGCTGGGCCAGGAAAGGACTGTTTGTTGTAGGTAACCGAGGGCTCAGGGGAAATTATTTTTTTTCCTAAGAGAAAATTATTTGTAGCATTTTGGAACTGCTAGGGCCTTTGCAGAAATTACATTACCTTGAGAGGTGAAGTTGTCCAGCATCACGCAACTGGCTTGAAAAGAAACTTGGAGACGGGGTCTCGTTCTTTTACCCAGGTTGCAGTAGAGTGGCATGATTGTAGCTAACTGCGGCTTAGAACTCCTGGATTTAAGCAATCCTCCCCTTTCTGAGAATGCACATGTGTGACGGGCTGAGCCTAAAGACCGCCCAGGGTCTACCCTCTTCAGTGTACAGTGTGCTTGTGCACACGTTGCTGCCCACGTGTCCCCGCCAAGCAGATGTTGGTTGTTATTTGGACCCTGAAGGATCAGACCTGGAAGAGTGGGGGACCAGAAGATGAGGTCTCCATAATTTTAGGTGCTGTTCAGAGTTCATTCAGGTCATAGGACTTGTTTCATCTCACCCTTCCTCAGAATCCTCCAGCTTTCACCTGGAAATCTCTGCAAATGACACTAGTTGTTGTGGAGGGTGAGCGATCCTAATGCCCTGCTCTTAGAACCCGAGCCAGTCGCGGCAGCTGCATCTGTCTGCGTGTTTTCCCTGTGGAGCCATCCAGCTGTTGAGCTTTTTATTGTTTGGCCCTGTTTTATTATATCATAAAAAAGATTTTCCTCTTAGCATGATTTAGGAAGATTTTATTTTTTGGATGTTGTCAGAAATTACAGCAATATATTCATAAATACCTAATTACTACATTCAACAAATAATATTACAATACAATTAATTCAAACAAGTACACTTAGAACAGGTTTAATTTCACAGCATCTAAACTGCCCCCAGAGTGACCGAGGCACCGGTGTTCCTCCCTCCCACCTGTGTATGGGTTTCCTCTTCTAGAATTAAGCACAGGGTACGTACAAAACACCACCAATGAGCATGGTCTTCCTCGGGTCAAGGCAGCGTTTAAGGAGTTTCTCAGGTTAAGCACTGCATTGAAAAGTTGGGGACAGGCTACTGCAAGTAGTAAGAAAGTCAACAGCTTGGTTACTTGAAAGAGTACAGAGACTGCTAAGTGGCTAACACACAGTTGAAAGAGGAACAGAATCGGCTGTGTTGACCATCTCCATCTTGTGGTAGATCCCTGGAATTTTCTATACTTGGGTGAAATGTGTGGCTCAGGGAAAGGGGGAGTATCTGGTTTGAAATTCAGCTTAATTTTTGAGATTTGGCAGTATTATGAGCTACTTGAAGAAAATACCATTCTGCTACAAACTGTGGATTCCCTGTGTCAGAATCCTTTGCTGCTGCAGGTGTGGGCTCCTTTAGATACTCTCTGAATTCTCTTACGGGTGTAACCTACCCAACTGTTAGTGCCAATTCAGTACTTTGTTAAGCTTAGAATATAGATTACTGTGTGGACAATACTGTCTCGTTCGCATATCTCAGACACTGGATTAGGAACATGGTATTTTATGTCAGTCTGGCTCTGATTGTATGAAACAAAGAATAATACATTGTTTGAATGAGAAACCAGATAATTTACTATTAGAAGGTATCCCTCTGTGGAGGATAAATGGCAGCTGCCTTCCAGGTAATAGAGGAAGATGGTCATGACTGGGTGCTGTGTCTAAATGGTGTGCTTTCGTTTTTGAGAGATGCTTCTTACCTTTTCTTAGTTTGTGTTGTCTACTGGTTTGTATTCTGATTGTCGTATTCCTTGAGTAAGAGTACTTGGAGATCACCACAGTAGGTGGAAGGATGGGGAGACAGTAGGAGAAGCTCAAGGGCTGGGCAGAAGGCAGCTATTGCTAGCTACAGGGACACTGCTCTCCTCCCGGGGCAGACCTCTCAGAGTGTGCCACCTGTCCCCTGTGCTGTCGCAGAAAAGCCAACCAAGGGAGCGCTCCTTGGATGGTAAGGGATGGGCTGTGTTTTTAAGTTAACGGATCTGTGTTTCCCTTTTACTGAAGCCGAGGCCCTTACCAAAGCTTAGAAGTGCTAAGGCCAGAAACCTCAAGCAGGTTTTCGGTGGAGAAATCCAGTGAGATTTTGTCCTGATTGTTGTTAGCGGACTCCCTCTGAACACTTGCGGAACATGCTGACCTCCCCGTGTCTTTTGGGGGCAGGCCTATAGCACAGCCCCCCGCGTTCTCTTCCAGCTGCTTCTGTGGAGAGCAAGGCGCTTGCTGACTGCTGATAATACTGGTGGTACGTTTATTTGAGTTTGCTAATAACTGGAAGATTCTTGGCAGACTTACAAAGCAAACTGTGCGGGGGCAGATAAAGTGACAGGCTGCCAGCTGCCAGCAAGCTGTTGTGCACAGCAAGGGCTGGGGCCCAGGGCTTGGCTGCTGGTCTCAGCAGTGAGCAGCCAGCACACAGGTCAGGCACCCTGCCGGAGCTCAGGACTCCACCCCTGGACTGGTCAGCGGGGGCCCTGGCCTCTGGTGAGGGCCCACGGGAGCGAGAGAGGCCTTTGTGATCTCAGCAGTACCACCACAAGCAGCAACTGGGAGGAGGATGCGCCTAGTGCTTTGCTTTGGTGTGAGGAGCCCAGTTTCTGGCCGTGCCTGTGCTTGTCACAGTAAGTTCAAAAAAGGAGGGGTTCAGCTCAGACCTTGTTTGCCCTACTTTTAGGCTTTTACAAAGCTTTGCATTTAAAGCCTCTGAAGTTCATATTCTGTACCCGCTCTCAGATACCTTAGAATTCTATCGCAGAAATCATTTCGTTTCTGGAAGGCTTTTAAAAGCCCCCGCCCATGCGTGCAGATGGTTGTCAAGCACAGGTTCTACAGATTACCCCCTCTTCCCTGGATAGCAGTGGGTGATACTAGCTTGTCCTGATGCTAGGGGTGGGGAAGGGGGAGTGGAGGAGGTGAGCAGTAGCCCATGGCTTTCTACGGTAGCTTCTGGTGCAACCCAAGCTAAAAATGAAGTGATCGCATAGGCGCCAGTGGTAAGCTCTTTTACTTTTCTTCTTAATTTTTAAAAACACTTCAATATTTTAATGTCCTGACCAGCAGCAGTACAAACACTAAAAGCAAGGGTTTTTTTTTTTTTTTTTGCCCCCCAAAAAAAAAAAAAACAAAAACAACAAACAAAAAACCCCCAACAGGAAAAACAAACAAAAATCCCCCAAACCACATATTAAAAATGGCAGGCTTTTTATAACAATAGTTAAAGTAATAAAAACATACAAAACTTTGTTTTTTAATATATATACACAGTACAAGGCTGAAGCACCTTTGACTTTTCTCTCAAAATTTACGTCTGTATGAAAACCCCACCCCCTGTAGTAACAATCTGGTGGGTGTGAAGCTGTGTATCCACAGAGCTCTGTACATGCTCCCCACGGAGTAATAAAAAGGTACCTTCAGTTTGTGAATTCATTTTCTCTTTAGGTAAGAGCTTTTCCAGGGAAAAGCCTTTGGGTTGCTTTGTGTGCTCCTAGGACTTGTTGCTTTGAAGAAAATTTTGCAGGAAAGTAAATGAAACAAATAAGCCCTTTTTACTTACAATGCACCCAACCTTCTTTTGAGTGAAGCAAGTTTCACTCCCGGGGAGGAATGAGACTGACCCCATCACTGCCGCAAAAGCAGACTTGGCTTGAGGCATAGTAACATGGCAACACAAGAAAGAACAGAACCGGCGTGATCCGCTCATACGCACAGGGGGCTGTAAATCATAAAGTTTTAGTGTTGGTAATGGAGCCTTCATGTTCAGATTAAAAAAACAGTGTGGGAGAGGAAGAACTAAAACCGCCTGTAAAAAGAAACTATGGCATCCTACGTTGGTTGCTCGCTGAATGACAAAGGTGATTCAGTTGCATTGAAGTCAAGGTGAGTTCATTCATTCTTTTTTTTTTTTTTTCTGGAGCCTGGAATCCTTTGCTTCATGCATGGCACATTCTCATTTTTTAAGCTTCAAACCTCCCAGTGAAAAATATTAAATATTCAAGGTAATAAAATAGATAATATTTCTATACTATAGGTTCGGCCTAGTGCAAGGGAAACCGTCACCTGGGGTATCCCTTCAGGTAGCCCCTAGGCCAGTGCATTGCAGGCAAGGCAAGGCACTTTCGTAAGTGGTCCAGTTCCGCCTGGAGCCGCTCGCGTTCTGAGACCATCTTCTGTTTCTGGCTCCTCAACTCCTAGAGAGAGGGAAATCTGTGTCAAAACCAACTCATTTTTTCTGTAACAACAAGCATGTGGTACCCAAACATGGTGGAAGGAAAGGCAGTCCCGGTTAGAAAAGGTCTTGGCTGGGAGTGGTGGCTCATGCCCTGAGGCGGGTGGATCACGAGGAGTTTTTGAGGCTCCGGCTTGGGCAACAGAGTAAGACTTAACAAAGGCCCCCTTCTCAGCCTATGTTCTCTGCTGAGCTCTTCCAGAGTCCTAGAGAATCGGTGTCTGCTGCTGTCTTGGCTCAAACTCGGAGTTCTTGGAACCCCCGGATGTAAAAACTTAGGGAGGGATCGGAGGCCTCTTTGCCAAGCAAGGACATCTGCTGGACCAGTCCTGCTAGTACGGCTGTGAGCTAATGGGTGCCGACATGGTTTCACGTACTTCAGCTTTCCTTCTCTAATACAGTTCCCTGCTGCCTTCCCCTAAAGTGCAAATCACAGTAGGGGAGACTGGTACAGGCAATAATTCATTCTGCAAACAGCATCACTACCCTTCCAAGATCAACATGCTGTAAGTGAAAGGTATTTCCCTACTTATAGTTAAATCCTAGATAGTCAACTGCTGCCTGAATTTTCCCTTTAAAAAAAAAAATCAAAACTAAGAAATAGTGCTCTGGTCCCCTGGCTGGAGTGCAGTGGCACTGACTGACAGTTGACTGCAGCCTTGAACTCTTGTGATCCTCCTGCCTCAGCCTCCCCAAGTGCTGGGCTTGTAGGAGTGAGCCATTGCACGCAGTCCAAATTTGGCTCTCTGAAGAGCACACTACATCTCTAAAACTTACCTTCATGGGTGCTTTTGAACCCAAACTCAAAAGGCTGTGTGTTTTAAGGTTTCTGTGCCTTCCCAACTCACCGCCACACTGTGGGAGAGCTGCTCTGCCGTCAGGCTGAGACTGTAGTGCCGGGCCTCCAGTCGTCTGCATTGCGTCTGTAACACCTGCCGCTCCAGATTTTGCTCTGAAAAGACCAGAGGTGGTGATGTGTCGTCTGTGTACAGGGGCCCCAAGGCCTGGTGAGTGCTCTCTTCTTCACACACTGCCCGGCAGTACCCAAAAGCCCTCGCCACTGCAGCCAGCAAAGGCCTCTCCTTTGGGTCACAATGGTCGTACCAACACATAAACATCACTGAAATTAGATCCAGCCCACGGGAATAATGACAAAGGAGCCAGAACCTAAAGGCACTCTGATACAGATTATGAAAACATTTTATGGCCTAAAAATGCATCTTTCAAAAAAACCGTTTAGACTGTTGGAAAAAGGCCAGAATAAACTTAGAGCAGAGACTATTTTACTAAATAAATCTGTGTTCTATCAGAAGATACCAGGCCTAATTTTAATAGAGGGACTCCAAACCTTTAAGTCCCTATTTTATGCACAGCGTTTCAGAGACTGACAAACAGCAAAGGCGACAACAGTCTGGATAACAGAGAACAATAAAAGTAAAGAACACAAATTATAAATCCAGCAAGGACAGAGCAACAGCCAGAAAACATCACAGCATCAACTGTGCGAACGAGAACCTTCCCTCTCTCCCAGGATGCTTTACAGTTTCACACACAAGGGCGCTACCCGTGCCTGTCTTCGGCAGCCCTGGAGTGACGAGACAAATTCAAAAGGAAAGAACCAAAACTTGGATTTACAGAAGGTTTGATCATCTGTGATTCCTATGATCTAAGGAATAACCGTAGATAAAAAAAATCCTAAAGCTTTGTAAGCTACAATGGTTTTTGGAAACAGCTCCCGAAACCTATGTGATAGCTGAAACTAAATCTAGTCCCAAATGATCCGAAATCTTAGTGATTTCATAGTTTGGTACCACATTCATGGACAAGGATGCCAACATGCCAACCAAGTCCATAACTTCAGTGCAACTGAAAATCCTAACCGGACTCTGAGAGGGGAACACAAGGTGATCCGGAAATGTGTTGAGGGCAGGTCATGCCCCGCCAGGCAAAGCCCCACCACGTAGGAGTGAGGCAGGGAAGAGGAGGAATTGCTTGTCTGGGTGGGAAAGATGCAGTTAAGATTTCTACCTTACTCTGTACACATGAGTCTTACACAGAAGAGGAAAAAGCTGAACTCACAGAACAGCCTTACAGCGTTAGAGTATGGAAAGAATTTCCAACACCACACCAAGAAACCCACAAAACCAGAAAAGATGGAAATATTTCATCCCAGGAGAGTTAAAAATCACTCTGCATATTGCTTCTGGATATTTATGTGTGTACTTAAACAACAGCAACATGGGGCCGGGCGCCGTGGCTCATGCCTATAATCTGAGTACTTTGGGAGGGGGCCAGATCACGAGGGTCAGGAGTTTGAGACCAGCCTGGCCAACATGGTGAAACTGTCTCTACCAAAACCACAAAAATCAGCTGGGCATGGTGGCCCATGAGTAATCCCCGCTACTCAGGAGGCCGAGGCAGGAGAATAGCTTGACCTGGGACCTGGGCAGCAGAGGTTACAGTGAGCCAAGATCATGCCACTGTACTCTAGCCTTGGCTACAGAGCAAGACTCCATCTCAAAAAAAAAAAAAAAAAATTAGGGAGGTAGTAGGCAATAAACTGGAAAGATTCCATGGGAGGAGGAAAGGAAGCTAAATACAGGATTTGATGTATACAGGTTGTGGCTACCTGGGCATTTGTTTTGAGTTTGGAGAACACTTTTCCAAAGTGAGTTCTGGCAAAAGACAGTCAACAAAAAACTACTTTTCAACGTATTTGAAAAGGTTGACATTCGTAATCAAGTCCTTACGTTTACAACACTATAATACGTGATGATGAAAAGTCATCTAAGATATAATAAATCGCTTGCAGGCGGCTGCACCCTTGCCCAGCAGAGCCCGTGCAGTAAGGATGGTGAGTGCAAAATGAAGGCTGGGCACCTGTAGGCCAAGCCAAATGGGCCTTGGCAATATCCTCAGGTAACTGAGGCATAGAGGCAGGAGGTGGGCTGCTGTATACAGAAGGTCAAACACTGCAGCAGCCAGTTTTATGGTTCTACTCCTTGGCAGAGGAGATGTGGCAGAGTCTGCCTGGTGCTGTGCCTTCCGGGGGTGGGGGGGTGGGGGTTGGCATGTACATTCCCAGGGGGAATTAAAACATCCTGGGTATTTAGAGAGGCAGCGAGCCTTCGACTAAGCCTTTGGCAGGAGCCTGTCTCCCCCAGCATAGCACCTGGCTAAAGCAAAGGTAGCTGAAAACGTTACTGGTACCCACTGGCCCCAGAGTAGTCCTTCCAGGCAGGAGGCATGCTCAAGCAGTAACCAGGCCTAGCTGCTGGAGCTCGGCAAATCAGCCAACTAAGTCATGTGCCAGGGCCCTTACCCAACCCTGAGGCTGACATCTGCACTGATGCTAGGTCTCCGAAAGCAGGGCCCACACGAAGAATGACAGGTGCCACGAAAGTTGGCATCTTGGTGCTTGATGCCCCAGTAGGCCTGGCCTCAGGTTCCACCATGGGGCATCACCACTACCAGAAGCCGGAGGAACCTTCCAGTATTTACATCTACTGTGCCTCAGGACGCAGGAACAGTCCCCAGGCTGGCAGAAGTCTGCATGAACTTGTCACTCAGCTTCCTTTCCAAAGGTCCTTTACCCGCTCCCCTCTTCCCTCCCAACGCCATACCTTCTATGTGTTCCTGGTAAGCTTCAAAAACGGCCTCAATCCCTTGCCACTTGCGCCTGGGTGCTTCCTCATCCTCTTCTCCATCTTCATCCTCTTCCTCCTCCTCCTCCGAGTCCCGGTCCACCTCCTGCGTTGGGGGGCCCTTCCTTGAAGTGGGGGGCTCCTGCTGCCCATTGTGCTGGGGTGGAGGGACACGGCTAGAGGACTGCAGCTCGGGAATGTTGTAGTGGACAGACGCGTCGACCTTATGGTTCTGCTCTGCAGATAGCACAGCCACGCTCCCTGCAGAAGGGACAGGGTTTACATCAGTGTGTTAGGAGTAGGGACACGGGGCGCTGTCTCAGAAGGCAGCTTGGTCCTGCCTTTGCTGCAGAGGCAGCATGACTGCAGGTCTCCAGGGACCAACGTGACACTGCGCAAAGAGGAGGGAATCTAGCCAACGGCCTCTGGGCCACGGACCCAGCGTGACAAGGTCTTAGACAGTGCAGCCCTGAGTACCCTGGTACGTGGACCATTTTGATGAAATTCATCTCTGAGCATTTTTCTTCTTGAGACAGTCTCACTCTGTCACCTAGGCTGCAGTGCAGGACCTCCTGTGAATATCTAAAGCCAAGGCGGTTCAAGTCCCTAATGGAAAAAGGCATAGTACCTGAACACAGTACCTGAATAGAGCCTACACGGATACAACGTAATACCCAGTATGCTGCCTACACTTGTACCTGGAGTACCTGTGATACCTAATCTATTGCCTGTACCTCACCTCATCTGCCTGGATTCAGTGTAGTACCTGGTGCTTGGCAAATTCAAGTTTTGCTTTTGGCACGTTGTGGAATTCCACCCCGCCCACAAATATTTCTAATCTGAAGCTGGTTGAACCCATGGATGCCGAAGGCCAGAGGTGACATCTTTACATACCACCAGGAAGGAAGGGACTCTACCCTGAGGAGTAGCGGCCATCTGAATCTAGTCGAACACTCTGTCCTGAAAAACACCATTCTTTCAAATGAATGCTGGTAAAAATCCAATCACGCACTCTTCCTGCCTTTGGGGAACCCTTCTTAATCTCGGCAAAAACCAGTGCCTGCTGCTCTCCTCTCCACTGCCTCTTACGGATCGACGCGCCCCTGCGCACAGTACAGCATCAGCGCGAGCGCCTAAAAATGCTTTTCACCTACAAGTTCAACTTTTAGAGTGTGGAGTAAAACAAACAAAAACACGGTTTTGGCATACTGACGACATTATTTTCTTCTAGTGATGGGAGTTTATAAAAATTGGGGCCCACGGCTGAGCAGCAGTAGCCGCTCAGGGACTGGGGCCAGCCTCAACCACAGGCAGGAGCTGAGTGAGGACTGGCAGCCTCATTACCTTTATGCTTCTGCAGGGCCTTCTGGGTGGACTGCAGCACTGACTCGTGGAACTGATGGGCAAACTCTTCTGCCACAAAGGGCTCCCATGGCTTGCTCTTCCCGTTGGTGCTGTGGGACAGCGGCACAGGAATGTCCTTGGCTGTAGCGCCCCGGATGTAGTGAAGCATGCTCAGGCTCTTCTTGCCTCCAGAGCCCTCACTCAGCCTGGCCTTCTCCGCACTGGCAGGAGCTAGCTCCTGGACTCTTGACAGCTCCTGGGGCCGGACCTGTTCCAGCTTCCCAGGCTCCACGGCCTTTGGGACGTCAGGCAAGGAAGCAGCAACACCAACTGGCTTCTCCACGTCCAGAGGGGCTTGCTGCGTGGCTGGTTCTTTTAAGAGACAGAAAGCAAAGGAAAACATTAAGAGATGCAAGCTAACAGGATGAGGGTCGAGCACGCAGATCCCCGTCTGTAGAGCTTACTCTTAACAAAGACCTAGTGCAGAGAACCAACACCAGGGGAACATGTAAGTAACCGCTGCGCATGTGGCTCCGCTCTGAAGAGGGTGGTGTTTGGTGGCAAGTCCATCCTTGAAAGATATCCCAAGAAGTAAGAAACAGATCTGCAGGAAGAAGCAAGTCCCCCAGCCACGGGACTGGGAGAGAGAGGGATTCACTCCAACCAGACGAAAGACTGTGTGTGGAGCCCAGAACTGGGGTGAACTATAAAGATTCCCTGCGACACTGGACAGGACAGAGGTCGCTCGACTAGAGATGGAAGAGGAGGAAAGCAGGGCAGGAGGCGCTGGCGGGGCCCAGAGGGCAGAGTGAGTAAGACGAAGATGCAGGAGGAGAGCCAGGGCAGGCAGGCCAGTGGCGGGACCAGGGCGCAGGCACGGAGCCTAGAGCATGCCCACCCTCCTGGGATGGGGCCACTGGAGTGGAGTCCATGTGACCTCCTGTGCTATAACTGAGGGGCAGGTTACTACCACCACATTGGACCTCACGCTGAGCTCCACAGAAGCCAGACCCTCCCCTTGACTCTGAGCCCGCCTTCAAACTGATGTTGTGTCCCCAGGACTGTTAGAACTGTGCAAGGATGGTACACTTGTGCAAGAAGAATGGCAGAAGACAGTCGGCAGGAGCACTTTCACAATGATGAGGACCTCGAGTGGTCGCCTCCAAGCCGGGGCAGCCCTCGGGATGATCCTGGGTGGTGGCAGGTGGGGCTATCCTTCCCTTACCACTCAGGGAGACGGCAGGACTGTCCCTCGGAGAGTTTGTCAAGGAGCCGGCCACTGCTGGTGACAGTGCCTTCTGCTTCATGGCACGGAGCATTTCAACAAGTCTCTCTTTGTCTATGGGAAAAGCAGCCTGAGATTAACGAGCCAGTTGCATCATTTTTTTTGGAGGGAAAGATGGTGGGATTCTAGCAGAGCCTTGATGGGCAGGTAAAGCGCTAAAGCCAGAAAAACCAAAAGCAGGTGCGACGGGCAGGCCCAGTTTAAAAGAAGGCACCACGTTACAGCGAGCCCAGACTAACACATACCCACTACACAAAGTCTTAGACGTGCTCCAAAGACAGCTGTCTGCGCAGTGATTACACCTCTGTGAAACACTGCCCACGGACCTCGGTGGTGGTGTGTGAGGATGTATTTTATTTCAAGTGAGAAAAGGTGGTCCCAACGCCAGGAAATGCCCCAATGGCCCATGCCTAGCCTCTGAGGCAGGGTGCCGTCTCCTGGCCGGCTCCTGGCACTCAGGCACACCCCTGTCATACTGGCACTTCCTGAGAAGGAAAGATGACCCATGTTGTTACACACAGCAGATTCCTGGTGTCACATGGCCCTTCTTGACTCTGACACTTAAGGGCTGCATTGCCCTGAATTTTTTTCCTCTAAAAATTCAGCCACGTCAAAAGATGCTTTGTCTAGGACTTTGGGCCGGCCAGCAACACGGCACCAGCCCGCGAAGAGGGAGGAGAACACCTCCTGACTGGCACAAAGCAGAAAGGAAACGGCTGCAGCCTGACAGACACCTTGAAGCAGCTAAAGGACCGAGAAGTAACTCTGCTGTCCTTTCACTTTCTCCCAGAGAGGAGGCCAGGGGTCCCTGAGGACTTGGAGGCTCACCAAGGGGCAGGGCCAGGAATGTCATCATGCGGGCACCCAACCAGCCTGCGTCACAGGCCAAGGAAGCCGAAACACTAAGTGGGGGTTGTAGCCACGTTGTCTCTTCTGTGTGGACTCCAGCCCAGAGGATCTGTCCCAACGTGGCCCTGTGTGGCCAGACTAACTGGAAGCATCTTTCAAGGCAAGCCATCTGCGTGCTGCACTGCCTGGCAGCTTCCCCAGGTCTCCGGCCACCAAGACACAATGCCCAGCTGACCACCTGAGTGGTCCAGCAAGAGGAAAAGCCTGCAGCAAGATGAACCTGAACGCCTGGCACCTCCCCTCATGCCTTGTGCAGTCACTGGCACACTCGGCTCAAAGAGCGCCTTCTTGGGCGCCGGGAGATGGATGAGTGACAAGGGTAGTCCTCAGCTCAAGACAGTGGAGGTCTCCCAGCAAAGCTTGCCAGGTAAGGGCTGCTGCGGAGAGCTTCCACGAGCACAGGCTGTTTCCGGGACCTGGGAAAAGTGAAGGGGCAGCCTCCAGCTGAGTGCTCCCAGATCCTACCTGGCGTCTGCTGCTTCAGGAACGCATGCCCACCCCAGCGAGCCCCCACCTTCCTACCCCGGTGAGGCCCCACCTTTCCTCTTCTCGGCGCTGATGTGGGTCAGGTTGAAGATGGTCAGGAACTTCTTCTTCTCTTCGAAGTTGGGGCTGTTGTTCATCTCATCGGGGCTGTAGCGGGTGGAAAGCGCCAGTCTCGGTGACGGCGTCTGCCGCTTGCTCTGAATTGTGGGGGGCGACGGGCTTCTCTCTCTCAACATCCGCCGCCGCTTCCTCCGCTTCTGGGCCACCAATTCCTCCTTCTGCTGTTGGGTGGTCAAGCCAAAAAGTTGCAAAAACTCTAGCTTCTAGATTGGGAAAGAAAACAAAGGAGTTGGAAGCCACTGGCAGTGGTATTCTTTCACTGTCCCGGGTCCCCCTCCTGGGGTCCTGTGTGTGCCATGGCTGGCTGTGCCTGGCTACAGAGGAGCTTGGTGGGACCAACCCTGCCCAGACTTCTGGAGGAACCTAGAACGAGTAGGAAGGGCTGTGGGGTGTGGAAGCTGGGAGGTAGGCACTGATGTGGGGACCCAGCCCAGCCCAGCGTGTGTCTGTGGGGAGGAGAGCCTAGTACCTCGGAGGACGTGTCCAGTTTGAGGGGCGGCTGCTCGGCCACACAGCGGAGGTGTGCCCTGACCTCCTCCTCATCGCTCTCATCGTAAGAGTCATCGAGGTCGTAGTAGTACCCTGATGAAAAATGGTTGTATTCAGCTGGACAAAGAGCCTTCATCTGTCCAGTGGACATGCCCTCAAGCCACATGACTACAGCCCACCCATCAGGCCAGGCCTGCTGGAACCTGAGCACCCCGAAGGCCATTTCCTTTCCACCCAGGTGGAAGCCACCACTAACCCAGTCCTAGGACTCAGGGCGACCGCAGGCACCAGGCTTCCCTGGGATCCACGGCCCTCAGAGGCCTCCAAGTGGCTGGGCGGTCCCGCTGGGCTGGCAAGACCTCCCTCCTCCCCCTGGCAGGGACCATCCATCACACAGGCCTGGGGCCGTGTCCGAAGCAACATATGCACTCCCCCCTGCTGTGGCCGTCTGGATCTGACCCCTGGGAGGGGACAGGCACACAGGCCCCCGCTCTCAAAGGCACAGAGAACAGCAGCAGAGCCCCTGCCTAGGGGCACTGGGGTAGCCCCCTCCTCCTTTCCAAAGTGAGGAGGGGAGAGAAGTCTAGAGCTGGTCCCTCCATCCAGCCTCCCCACACCAGGAAGATGGACTGTGCCCAAGCTTCTAACGAAGGGGTAGCTGAGCTCAGCATGGTACGGGACCGAGTGTCCAGCAGTAGGAAAGAGACGCGGCTGGAGCCCTGCTCTCTCCTCACACCCAAGCCTGCCGGATGCTCTTCCTGGCTCTCTCAGGGAGTGCCGACTGAGGACTCTCTGACCCAAGCAGAAATGAGAATGAGGTGCCTGACCTCCTGCCCTGACCCGGGGCAGTGCCAGCTGCCACCTCCTCCTCACCCTGGCCCACCTGCTGCAGGCAGCCCCGGATGTGGAGCCCTTGCTGGGCCCAGGCCGGCACTCCTGTTATGCTGCGCTATTAATATTTAAAACCATCTCATTAGTCTCTGCTCATCACTTATTCATCGTGCATGTCTGCAGAACTGTCTTTACAGGCAGGCTTTGATTTGGCTTTTTGGGACAATTTGCACGGAGGCAGGACAGGCATGGGGCCTAGGGTCTGTCTCCCCTACAGGAGTGTGAAGCTGCTACACAGAAGCCAGTGCACTTGTCACCTAGGGCCTAGCACTACCCCAGGCGGAAGGCAGGAGGGGTGGGTGGCTGGCATGCAGGCTCCCCATCCCCACTGTGCGGCTCCCCCTAAGCAGGTGGGAGCCCTCAGGGCGGCAGACCTTTCTCCTGGGCCTCCCGCCGCCTGCGCTCCTCCAGGTCCAGCTTGCTCACGAGCCTCCGGCGCTGCTGCAGGAACTCATCGTAGATGTAGGCAGGGTCAGGGCCCCGTGGTGCTGGGGGCCGGTAGGGTGAGCCAGGCTTCAGGGGTCCACTGAGCTCCCCAAAGGTGGCTGCCTGTGGGAGGGAGGCCCGCTGCTGGCCCAGGATGGTCTGGGTGGACTTCTCGAGCTCAGCGAGGAAGGGCCCAGGCCCAGGTGGGAAGGTCTGGTGTTCCAGGGTCCCTCCCTCTCGTGGTGGCGGTGGAGGTGGTTGGTACTTGTCCAGGGGGGCAGGCTCACGCTTCCGTGGCCCCTCTTCCACTTTCTCCGGGCAGAAGACCCGCTCCACCTTCACCAGTGGCATGGCTGCCTGACGGCTAGGCTCAAATGCAGCCGGGTGGCTGTGCAGAGGGTGGCTCTCAGGGCGCCGCGTCTCCAAGGTGTTGTCCATCAGGGACACGGGGTTCCAGAGGGCTGTAGGTGCAGCATGGAGCTGGGGCTTGGGTGAAATCAGAGGTGGTGGCCCCCCAAAGTGCTGCGGAGGGTCACGGCCACCTGGCTCGTGACGGTTCGGTCCTGGCCTAGGGAGTGAGACCAACCTGTCAGTCAGGGAGAAAAGACCCCTCAGCCCCCCATGGGCTCCCCCAGTAGCCTGCGCTCCTAAGACGACCCAGATGGCACAGCCCCATAGAGAGCCGCTGCCAGCAGGGCTGCAGGGACAGGGCACACACCCCACCCCAAGGACCATGTTTTCTGTCCTCCATTTTCTCTTGATTTCGTTTTTTTTTTTTGAGATGGAGTTTTGCTCTTATCACCTAGGCTGAAGTGCAGTGGTATGACGTCAACTCACTGCAACCTCCGCCTCCTGCGTTCAGGTGATTCTCCCGCCTCAGCCTCCGAGTAGCTGGGATTACAGGTGTGTGCCACCATACCCCGCTCAGTTTTTCCATTTTTAGTGGAGATGAGGTTTCACTATGTTGGCCAGCTGGTCTTGAACTCCTGACTCAAGTGATCCACCTGCCTCGGCCCCGCATTTCCTTTTTTAACATCTGTGGCAGGTATGTGCAGGCCGCTCCAAGAGGACAGGGAGGCTCTAAGCCTACACTGCTCGGGAAGGCAGACCCGCTCGGGCCCAGAACAGACCCAACTGTGCTTCAGTTTCCCACCCTGCTTGTGCAAATCCCCCCAAGGGCAAGCGTCATCCTCACTTTCCATGCGAAACCCACTCTCTGCTAGCCTGCGGCCCTGCCACCAGTACCTTCCTCCTGCTGTGCCTTGTAGGGGCGGGCTGGCCACGTGCACACGGCCAGTGCTCTTACCTCCCCACTGCCCTTGCAGGCAGCCACAAGCCACAACCTGCCAGTGCCTGTCCAGCCCAACCCAGAGCCAAAACCAACAGTGAAGTGCCAGGATGGGGCCTGGGCCGAGACTGCCCCGCAGTGGCTCCCATTAGAACTGCAGCGACCCCAAGTGGCCGGTGGCAGAGGCCAGAAAAAAGTGTCTTCAAAGACCCAGACTAAGGCCTGTTGAGGCAGGGAGGGAGGAGGGGATTTCTAATATCAGAGCCCTTCCATTAAACAAGAAGCTGCCCCTTAGTTGCACTAAATGACTTGTTTCCTTAGTGCATTTAAAACAAGATTTCATCTATTCAAAGGACTATTTTTAGTATTGTTTTTCCAAAATTTATCTTTTTTTTTTTTTTTTTTAAATAGAGATGGGTCTCACTGTATTGCCCAGGCTGGAGCGAAGTCACTATTTACAGGTGCAATCCCACTACTGATCAGCATGGGAGGTTTGCCATGCTGCATCTCCAGCCAGGGTGGTTTACCCCTCCTTCACCAGGCAACCTGGTGGTCCTCTGCTCCAGGGAGGTCACTGCATTGGTGCTGGACTCGCCTTGGATACCCAATAGGTAACAGTGCACTACTGCCCCAAACTCCTGGGCCCAAGCCATCCTCCCACCTCAGCCTCCAGAGCAGCTGGGTCTACAGGCACGTGTTACTGTGCCTGGCTTTCTTTTTTGTAAAGGAAGATAAACTCACAGGATGTTTGGACCAATACTCCCCAGTGACCCTGTGCAAGGGGAAGGAAGAGACAGAGGCCATGGCAGGCACCTGGCCAGGCTGCCCTGGCGCTATTTAAACACAGCCACCAGGGCCCTCCATAGTAATTCCAGACTCAAGGCTGGGGACAGATCCAGCGCTGCCGTCCCTCTTAGGAGAATACAATAGGAAGCACCGGAAGAAGCCTTGTCCTTAAGTGAACAGCAAAGGACTGAAAACTGCAGGAGAATAAACATTGCCCGTGCCACGGCAAGCACCGGACACTATTCCAGCCTGGAGCATGAGGGCCCCAGGAGGACCTCATTCAGCTTGCTGTAAGGCCATGTGTGCAACCAGCCACAGGAGACCTCCACAGCCAGGGGAGGCCTGGGCCCTGCTTCCTACCGTGCCCAGGTCCAAATGGGGCAGCTGCCCTGGCTAGAAGCAGCCCATGGGTGGGCAAAGTCACAACACCTGTACTGGGGCCCTAGGGAACTCTGAGGAAGAAGATGCCTGCAGGAGTCAGGGCACCCCCATGTTATCAGGCCATGCCAGCGGGGAGCTGGCTGCCTTGAATACTCTGTGTAGCAGGCAAGGCTGAGCCTGAGAGGCCTCGGGGGTGGGGCTGGGAGAGGCTGAGAGGCAGAGGGACAGTGGACAGAAGGGGCCTCCCCGAGCCATAGGGAGACTCTGCGGTGGGCCCGGTGACAGTCATCCCTGATCAGCAGCATGCATTTCCTCGCTGCCCTACTGGACAATGGAGGCAAATGGAAGAGACGGTGGATTTTACATAGCAGCACACCCCCGTCCCAGAGCCAGAGGGTTTCTTATTCCACGACAGCACCATGGCCCTGAAAGCTGGGAAGAGGCTCAGAAAACACCCCGCTCTCCTCAGTTGAGGAAACTGAGGCTCAGGGAACAGAAGCAGTGTCCCTAGGTCCCAGAGCTAGAGAAGCCTGGCAGGTCATCCTCACCCACTCTTGCTGAGAGTGAGCCCTAGGGGGCTGTGAGGCAGGAGCAGGCATCCAGGCCCAGCTCGTAAGACTTGTGTCTGCAGCTGGGGTCCCAGGCACCGCCACAAAGGCGCCTGGGAATAAAGGGCTAGAAAATGGGCATTATGTTGTTATTCATACAAAAGCAATAAAACATTTTTTCCTTAAAATCAAAAGCTGTCCCTTCTCTTAAAAAAAAAAAAAAAAAGGCCCAGGCTCAAAAGCAGAGGAGGATGGAGAGAACAGGTATTATGAGTAATTAAAGCTTCCACTTTGCGCTCTCAGCTGCTGTGAACGGCCTCCTGGGAACGGGCCCAGGCTGCGTGGGCAGGGCCCTGGCTCTCAACATGGACCTGATTGGTCTCCTTACTTACTGGTGGGGATACCTCTCTGAGCAACCATTTTCCTCCTCAGTTTCAGCTTCCCCACAGGCAAGACAGGCATTATAACGTGAACATGAAACAGCAGAAATGAAAAAGGCAGGCAGAAATGCTGGGGCGGGACGTCGGGCAAACAGCAGGTGCCCGATACACACTGAACAAACCTGAACATGAAGGCTCATCCCTCCTTCCCTCCCCAGGCTCACACATGCGAGTCCCCGCTGCCCGGGGCCCACCTGGTGGTGCTCTCGGGCCTGTGCTCCGCCTCTGCAGGTACTGGGGGCCGGCCCATGTCCAGGTGCTGCTCCAGCACCTGCTGCCGGAACTCCGACACCTGAGACTGCCGATCCTCCTTCTCCTGCCGCAGCCGCCGCTGCCGCGCCAGCCACTTCTCCTCCTCATTGGTGCGCTGGATCAGCAGGGCCGTGGCAGCGCTGCTGCTCGGCAGAGAGAAGATGCCGTGGTTGGAGATGAGGCTGGGCACCGCGTGGTGTGGGGTGGGCACCGGATGCAAGGGGTGCTGCACAGGCTTGGGCGCCTGCAGGCCGGCATCCTTCAGCTTCTCTGTGGGGGGAAACACGGTCAGGCAGGGTCTCAGCCACGCGGGCCAGCATGCTCCATCCCTCGCCTCTCATCCAACTGCCCAGAGAAACCAGACCCTTCCAAAGGCTTCTTCCCACAGTCGGAACCAAGAGATTCCAGAGGGCCTTATGGGAGCTTTCAGGAAGCATGCCTTGTCCCTAGAAGGAGGTGCTCCATGGCTGGCTGGCACGTCTCGCCCAGCCAGTGGGGTGCCAGTGCCAGCTCGCAGTGGCTCAAAGAGCAGACTGTTAAATTTTCAGGAAACATGCAAGCCAGCTGTTATTACTAAACAATTATTTGTAAACTGAACAGGAACATAAATTATATTACAATTAACAAAGCACTCAAAACTTATTCTTTCCTAATACCCTGGCTACATTTCACAACTGTGCTCGTGGGGTCACCTACATGCTGTGTCTGTATCGTGTGCCCGAGTGCCTCTTGCTCCCTACTCTGTTCAGCTACGACAGCCTTTTAGGGTGAACTCAGCAGGGGAGCATTTACACCATGGCAACTGGCACGTGCTGCGGATCGGAGCTCCTCCCCATGGGTGGCTGAGACCTTGACCGGCACAGCCCGCCCGTGCCCAGGTACCTGCTCGGGTTGGGGTCAGCTGCTCCGAGGGCTTGCCCCGCTCCTCGGTGGCATGGCCACGCAGCCCATGCAGCTCGGCCACAGGCAGGAAGGCGGGCTCCAGGGCCTTGGCGGCCAGCAGCTCCTTCTCCCGGGCCCGCTGCTCCCGCTGGCGCTCCAGCTCCCGCTCCCGCTCCTTCTCCCGCTCCCGCTCCTTCTCCTGCTCACGCTCCTTCTCACGTTCACGCTCACGCTCCTTCTCACGTTCGCGGTCAGCCTCGCGCTCCCGCTCCCGCTCCCGCTCCCGCCTCAGCTCCTCGTCCATCTGCAGCCTGCAGTGTGTGGAAAGAGTCGGGGCTGTACCGCACCAGGGGCAAGAGGGGGACCTGGGCAGGCCCCTAAAAAGCATGCCCAGGAACGAGCCAGGGCATTGATCCAAATTGTACAGGAGGTGAGCAGCATCTCCCTCACTTTCGCTGGTGCAGAAGAACTGAAGGTCCATACAATCAAAGCGGCTTACAAAACCCCCAAGCGCCCCCCCGAGTGCCTCGGCCTGCGGGTGTACAGCAGGACTCTACGGCTGCTGCGACGGGCGCTGTTTCAGAGCCCAGAACCATAACCGATCACTGGCCCATTTGGCAGGCGGACAAACAGGACAGGCACGGCCCAGGACCCCAGTCAGGCTCCAGCCCAGGCTCTCTGCCTCGCTGCCATCTAGGGACAGGAAGAGTAGAAGGGCTCCCCGGGCCGGGACACACTTACCTCTCTGCACTGAGGCCAGACAAGCGCTCCGAGTGCAGCGCCGCCAGGGATGAGTGGGAGAGCTCGGGTGGGTAGCGGACCCCGGAGAGGTGGAGGTGCATTGCTGATGGGTGCAGTGGGGGCAGGGAGCCAGGAGTGGGGATAGGGTAGAACGGGGATCTCAGGGCGGACAGGCAGTAGGAGTCATCCATCCTGTGTGAAGAAGACAGGGCCATGAGCACCAAACCCTAAAACCAAGGGGAAGACCCAGCCCTATCAACAGGTGCGCCTCAGCCAGGTACGCACACCTGCCTGAGTGTGGGAAACATGGCAAAACGGCTGGAGGCGAAGGCTGCACCTGCTGTTAGCCCCAAAGCCCCTTAATGCCAGAAGCCGCTGGGCACCGACAGCTTGGGGATCCAGAACACTACCTGCCACCCCTTCTCGGCTGAGTTAGCAAAGGCACAGGCCCTTCCAAGGCCGGCCAGGAGGCTGGGCTGCCCTGACGTGGGGCGGTCCGTGTCGTGACTACAGGCCCCTCTGGCTAGGATGTGTGGAGCTTCTCCAAGGACCCAGGCTCTCCCACCACAAAGCCAAGCAGCACCCCTCCCACAGGCAAAGCCCTGCTCTCAACAGTGACGGTGCAGTCACCAAGGGGACTGTCCACCAGTGGGACATCAGGGCTGAATTTGAGCTCAAAGCTGGGGACGATTTTGGGGGCCACTCTAGATGCTCCCCTGGGAGCCTGGCCTCCAGGCTGTAAGAAACACCTTCCTGCTGGGTTCCGTCTTGCCAGGAAGACTAGAGCCTAGATGAGAAGGCACGTGGGGGCCGCCTCACCTGAAGGCCGGGTGGGGGAAGGGGTGCGGGGCCAGGTAGCTGGGGTGGTAGTAGGCTGCGGCGGTGGCCGGGTCCAGGCCGAGGGGAGGCAGTGAGGACACGCGGAGGTCGTCAGTGGTGTGGTAGGGCCGGAAGCTTCTCAGGTAGTCCTCGGTCACGGTGCTGGGGGGCACCACATGGTGCACAGGCCGCTGGAGGCTGTAGGCCGGGACAGGGGGCGAGGTGGCAACAGGTGAGAGGAAACCTGCTCCTGCTGAGGGGATGGCTAACCTCCCAGCGGCCCCCCTGCCGCTCAGCCGGCACCCAGACTCCTGGCACCCAGACCAGAAGGGAGCTGAAAGCAGGGTGGGCAGTGTGCTGCCATCACCACCTCAGCGTGGAGGGGCAGACAGGGCTGCAAGCCCGGGGCTGAGCGGCTGCAGAAGCCGATAACCCTCTGGCGGGCCCAGCCTCCCTGGTACAGACCGCAGGCTGCCTGGGGACCCAGACCCTGAACACTGCGCGTCCCCGCCTGGCTGCCTCACGAAGCCCCGGCTGGCTGACTTACTTGAGTGGCGGGAAGCGGGAATCCTGCACGACCGAGCTGGGGGAGAGGCCGAAGGGGTAGGGGGTGCTGAGCAGGTGCGAGGGGATGGCTGGGCCCCCTGCCTTCTCCTGGGGGAGCGGGGGCTCCACAATGAGGCGTTCCCGACCGCCACTGCTGCTCCTGGAGCCGGCGTCCTGCAGAGGAAAGTGTCCCGTCAGGGCAGGAGCTGCTACAGGCCAGTGCACACAGGACAGAGCCAGGTCTGGATTTAGCTCAGGTTCTAGAAACATCCTTTCCCTAAGGCTTTCTACACAAAACGTCGTGCAGGTGGCATGGGAGTTAGAACCGTAGGAAGGGGACATGGCTCTGCCAGGTATGGGGTAAGGCCATCTCAGGGCCTTCCTGTCCCCCTCCCTGGGCCTCGTCAGACCAGCGGAAGAAGTAGAACCCCCCCCACCCCACCGAGAACCCCAGTGTGCGCAGGTGATGCCTGCGGGGTGACAGCAGCTCCTGCCTCCTACCCGTCCTGGTGCCCACACCCAGGGAAGTGGACACTGTTGGCGCCTAGCATGCTGGGAAGTGAGTGCCGTCATGTGGCCAAGATGTCAGCTGTGCCAGCAGCTGCCCACCCCCATCTCAGACATCCTGCCCCTGGTGCCCATGTGGACGGTAGGGGCCATAGGAAGCTGGCACTGCCCCCTGGCTGAAGGTGCTGGTCTGCTCCCAGCCAACTCCTGGGGTGGCCCTGGCCCTGGCGCCCAGCAGAACAGGCAGCAGCTGGGCCTTAACTGGCCTGCACCCGACCTTCACACACACGGTGGGACAGGAAAGGCCACAGCTCACCCGTCCTAGGCTCCTGGACAGAGAATGGACCTGGGCCTAGCTGGGAAAGGTGGCCCAGGGGACTCAGATGAGGAGTCTGCTCCAGGCACAAAGCAGGAGGTGGCCCAAGGCCCACCTTCCTGGCTGAGGTTCCTGCCAAGTCCAAGAATGGGCCGTGCCACCCCTAGCCACTTGGAAAGCCGTTCCCCTCAGACCCATCCACACAGAGTCCAGCCTAGAGAAACCAGAGTGGGAAAAGCTTTGCTTCTTCCTGTGACTCGTGTGACTAAGCAGGGGCGGGGCAAGGCTTAGGGTGGCCCAGACAGGGGCTGTGCTCTAGACTCCAGGCTGCCAGCCCAGGCGTCACTCCATCACTGGGGCAGCTGCTCTCAGCCCCAGCGCCCACCCTGACCTGGAGGTATCTGAGAGCCGTGGCCACGCTGGCCCCCCTAGCTTCCCTGCCCTTCCTGACATCCCACGTGGCCACATGAGGGTAACGAAGGCTGATCCGCAGGCAGCGCTCCGCTCTGCCTCCCTGAGCCACGAAATGCCAAATACCCGGACAACAAGGGGCCCGTGACCGTCTCCCCACCAAACCAGCGGGAGTGACGGTGCAGGGCTGAGACCTGCCCCAGCACGGAGAGGCATCTGCCTCCCAGAAGCCGAGCTGTGTCCCTGACCCGCCAGCCCCTCTTCCTGGCCTATCCATCTTCATGGTGGCAGACGGTGACCCGGCAGTGACACATGGCACCCGCACAGAGGCAGCGCAGCCAGGCCCGGCCGGCTCCTCCCGAGCTCCACCCTCCAGGAACAGGCAGCGAGGATTCACTGGAGGAGCCTCGGCCGCCTGGAATCTTCAATGAGAGGCAGCATCTGCTCCCTTCCCGAGGGCTCAGCCTGGGCCCCCGCTCTCTGCAGGGTCCTCCTGGGTTCACGACCTCTGACCTGCCCTTCCAGGGCGCTGGTCTCAAGGGTGGGAGGCACACACGGGCACTGACACCCTGCGTGGGGGCGGGAACTTGCCACTGAGGGGCCAGCACCTGGCCTTGGGGTCTCCAGCCTGTGTCAGCAACTGGGGAAGTGGCCGAGGGGCCAACCTGGCATCAGGAGACCTGGCCATCCTGGAACTCCTCGTGCACACATCAATGGCATGTTCCCATCACGGCAGCCGCTCAAAGGGCAGTGGGCTCGATGGCACAGCTGGGCACAGGCGAGCTGGGGATGCATCAGCAGGGTGGGAGCCGGACAGGGCAGGCGAGTTGCCAGGCTCAGCCGCCTACACCGCCCTGTGAGGCCACTTCCAGGCAGGGCTTCCAGGTCATCCTTCACGCCTCTACCCCACCTGGCACAGGACTGAACAGCTGAGGACCGGATCATGAGGAAGGGCACGCCCTGTCCCTAGGGGCTGGGATGGGCTGCACAAGATGGAGTGGCCCCTGGACCCCAGCATCCAGGTAGCACCCCAGTCAACACCAGGCCCAAAGCTAGTGGGCTTCCGGACTCCCAGAACGGGCTCTCGCCTGCTCAGGCACCAAGGTGACCTGGGCTCCCTCTCCCAGGCTGGTGCTGAGGCCTCCCCTGGCCAGGGCATGAGGGAGACGACAGCCCAGGCAATCAGCATCCAGCTGACTGAGTCAGAAGAGGGCTGGAGGGCAGACTTGACCCCAGGACGGACCCAGGCCTGCCACCCTCCGCCACATGCTCCCCACACTGTGGGACACGTCAAACAGCAGAGCACAGGGCCCCAGCCGCATGGAGGGGCCTGTCCTCACTCCAGACACGCTTTTGAACCTCTTCTCCCCTCAGCTGAGGACAAAGCCCTGCTTGCAAGTAGCCAGGCCAGATGGCACCTTCCTGGCCTGGCTGAGGACAGACAGGGAGTCCGGGAGGCGGGCGGAGGGGCGGCCAGCAGGCGGGGCAGGGGCCCGGCAAGCCAGACACACACGTCTGTGGCTTCCGTCTGGCTGGCGCCCGGCCAAGCCTGGCACAGACACCTGGGAACTAGGTCAGCGGGGCCTGGGGCGAGGCAGAGAGCTGCCCCCCACCCAGGAAAGGCCCGGGAGGCCCGGCAGCCACCCCAAGGCACCCCGACAGCAGCGGCAAGGTCCCACTTCTGCCTCGACTGACAGGCGCGTCACGGCGCATCTGCGGGCAGCTTTTCATTTCTGAGCAGCGGCTGCAGGCGCAGCTGCAACGATGGAAGAAAGAAGCCGGTGGGGGTGCGGGGGAGGGGCGGAGGGAGGAGGCAAAGCCGTCATTCTCCGGTGATGAGAGCGAGGGCTCCACAGTCAGACAGGCAGGACGTGCCCTGCTAGCTTTAAAATAGGCTTTTTCATTTCATACTACCTGGGAGACGGGGGTGACCCCGAGAAGGGGCCAAAAAGCCTCCCGTCCAGTGACCCCTGCCCGCATCTGCAGCCTCAGAAGCCACTACGGTTCCCGGTCACAGCTCTGGGAGGGGAATCCTCTCTCCGCCTCCCCGCCCCCTCAGAGGATTAAATTCCCCGCTGAGCCTCTGTGCCCGAGCGAGGAGCCCTACATCACCTGCTAATCCAGCTCCCGTCCCCGCGCCCTCCCCAGCGGCACCATGTTCCATTAAGCGCCGCGGCGGTAAACTGCCAGAGCAGATCTGTCACTCCCCAGCTCTGCTCTGGGGCTGCTGAATATTCCTGAGGCGGGAAGGACCCCCTCTGAGGAGAGGGACCAGCTCAGGGCACAGGAGTCAGTGGGAAACGCGCTTGAACCCCCTTGAGGTGTCCTGGGCCTCAGCCTGGAGCTCTGGTGGGGCTCAAGGCAGTGGCTGGGTATGGGGTCCCAGCCGGTGGAGGCTCCTGGTCCAGGCTGGGGCAGGAAAGTGCCCTCCTGTGTGAGCTGAGAGCTCCGGTGCCACCAGCCAGGCCCCACCACGGGGGGGTGCATGGAGCCTCGGCTGTGTGCGTCAGGTGACTCAGGGCCCCTGGGGTCAAGACTGACCCCGGTGGTGGCCTCTGGAGACAAGGGAGCTGGTGACAACTCCCTCATCCTCCCTCAAACCAGGACCAGCGCTGCCTTGGGCTGCTCCATGCCCCACAGATGTGGAGGCCCCTCTGGCTCCAGACCACACATGGGGAAGAGAAACTAAGACAGAGAAACTTCAAAGGCAGAGGGGTCCAGCAAGGTGAGGACCCCAGGCAGGTTTGTCCCCTCATCCAGAGAAGACGTGGAAAGCAGCAGAGGAAACGTCAGGTCCCAGGGGTCCCACTCCAGAGCTCTTGGGACCCCACAGGGACCCTGGATCAGGGCCTGCCCAGGGCTGTCACCTGTGGACTGAGGCTGGCTCTCTTCCCACCTCTGGGGGTAGAGACAGGTCCTGGTGATGACCAGGTGGCCCCGACACCCATGTCCCCCTGGGGGAGACGGCCGCTCTCTCCCCTTCCTTCTCATCTTCTCTGTGGTTTAATTAGCATTTCCAAGTGGGGCTTCGCTCTCGGAATTCAGCAGAAAAGTCCAGGCGAGAGCGGCCACTGAGAATCATTCTTAATTACGGAGGGCCCACTCCAGGCTGCATGCGGGCATGGGGACGCTGGGGAGCTGCAGTGGGGAGCCACCTGAGGGTGTGCGGGCCCCAGGCAGGGCAGACAGCAGCTCCCAATGCCAGCTCCTTCCACATGGGCAAGCCCCAGGGGCCCACGAAGATGAGGAGCCCTGAAAACTGGGGGAGGGGCTTCTGCTGGGAGCCCCAAAGTAAGACAGAAACAAAAAACCCAGCAGACGTCTTGTTCTGATGGCTTCCGGGCTCCATTCCTGGCTCAGTGCACAGACTATGACAGTCACAGCTGCAGCCTGCTGAGTGTTCTGCGAACACCCCCTTACGACGCCACAGCGTTACAGCTTGAACCGGACTCCCAGCCCCGCCCAAGTCTGCGTGTCAGACAAAGCCCGATGCCCAGGACCTCAGAAGGAACTGCACTGGAGACAAGGTCTTTAAAGAGGCGATTACACCAGGATGAGGCCATCAGGGTCGGCGCTAAGTCAACTGACAGGTGTCCTCACGAGAAGAGATCACCACCCAGAGACGGAGACACCACAGACGACCCAGCGAGAAGGCGGCCAGCAGCAACCCAGGGGATGCCTCTGGGGAAGCCAGCCCTGCCAGTCCCCCATCACGAACCTGTGACCTCCGGAACAGGAGACAGTAACTGGGGACGCCCCCAGCCCAGGGTTTCTTCCGACAGCCCACGCAGACTGATACGCGGGCCGCTGCCCTCACCTGCACAGGACTTCCAGCCAGGTGACGTCACCCCCATGTGGCAGAGAAGGAGACGGAAGCTCAGGGTGAGGGGGCTGTGTCTTCCGAATGTAAGCTCAACCTTGAAACCTCCAAAGCCCCCAACTAATGCCGCATCCAGCCTCCCCTTAGAGGATGCCGGGCGCCCCGCCCCACACCGCCCCGCCCTGGGCCACTCACCTGCCGGCTCTCGCTCCTCCAGACGCCATTGACAGTTTTGGTCGGGGCGATGGTCACCACTGGGGGTGTGCTGGGCACGCTGTGGCCCCCAGGGGGGACGATGATAGGGCCCATGGGCACACGCTTGGGTGTGCTGGCGGGGGAGCTGTGGTTGGTGGCCGGAGAGGACACGGGGGACGACTCGCTGCTCAGTGAGGACCCTGTGGAGAAGAAGGAGGTAAACTGAGCACGAGCCACGGTGACAGCCACTCGCCATGGCAGCTGGGGCCCCCAGAGCACCAGGTCTACCAGCCTTGTGGGCCCCTACCCAAGACTGGTGGACGGTGGAGACACCCCTCCTGAGATGAATTTGCTCTACTGTTCAAAAGCATCCGTGCATCAATAAAGCAAAAACAAAACAACACGTGTAGATCCAACACATTCAGGTCAGTAGAAACAAACCAAAACATTTTCCCCCTCACAAACTTGCAACAAAAAACACCCCGTTCCCCCCCACACACCCCCCTTACCATTTTGCAAACAAAACAGAAAAACGAAACAAAAACAGAACAAAATAAATGTCAGAAACAAATATAATTCACCATCTTTAAGAGTATACTTCAGGGGGTTTGCATAGGTCCACTGTTTACATCGACCACCACGACCTACCCCAGAACTCGCCCACCACCTCGGAAAGAACCCCTCAGCCCTGCAGACGCCATGGGGACCGGAGAACGGGTGGCTGCGGCCTGGCTGACTGCTGGCCACAGCCAAGAGGACACCCCAAGGGCAGGGGGCATGGACAGGCAGGGCCACCGCGGCCCATCTGCAGGTGCAGTGGGGGCAGGGACAGGGGTGGATGGGGAAGAATGTTCCCAGGCCCTAGAGCAAAACTACCATACAGAGCACAACTGCCTTCTCAGACCAGGGCCCCGCTCTGCTGCCTCCTCCTCTCCCTCCCCAGGTCAGAAGGGGACCAGGTGTGCGTGGTAGCAGGGGAGGGAGTGAGGATGTCCAAAGGCACCTGTTCCAAGAGTCCTCCTGTCCTCAAGCAGGCATCGCCCTCGCTTCCAGAGGGTCAAATCCCCGTGACTGAGGAGGAGCAGCTCCCCAGAGGCTGAGGCCCTGGAAGCTCTGCAGCCTGGGGGGTCACAAGAACCCTGCCCAGACTGATGAGACCCAGGGGGTGCATGGTCACCCCCCCCACACACACACACAACCACTCACACGGCTGTGGATTTGGACACAGGTCAGTGTCTGGCTCACCCTCCCCACATTCCATTCCTTGGCCCGACACAGGCCCAGGGCGGATCTCCACCCCCAAGGGCCACACACAGCACCCAACCAGGGTGCCACACAGACCAAGGTTCCCAGCAGGGCAGGCTGAGAGGTGCCCCATACAGCGCCACAGCACAGACTCCACCAGGGCGGGCTCCGGCAGGACCAGGCACATGCAGGACCACCAGGCTCCAGCAGGACCACCCACCAGCAGCAACAGGCGTCCAGGCACCCAGATGCTGGGTCACAGCAGCTGGGAGAACTCGCACGTGGGCTCATGGGGATCAGCGCTGCCCTCTGAGGTGTGGTACAACTGAGCACCTGCTGTTTGCAAAAGACCCACTTGGGAGGCACCTGCAGCCCAGGGCATGGTAGAAGCAGGCATCAGACACCTTTCCCAGAAAGAAAACCCCAGGCCAGCGACTCCCGGCATCCTCCCCGGCTTCTGCTCAGAACTGGCCTTCGTTCCGGGGGCAGCAGCAGCCTCACGTACCCTTCACTGCGTCCCGAGGGTGCACACGTACATTCACCAAAGACTGCTCCTTACAGGGGTGCTCAGAGGCTTCAGCCAGCCAGTTGTCTCAGTGGGGTGAGCAGGAGGCAGAGGCCCCACGGGCACCCTGATGTCAAAATAGAGCTGTGCTCTCCAAAAGCTACTCCCTTGGAGTGGGCAGCTGCTCCATCCCCAGGACACGGTCCTGCTGCCTTCCGCAAAAATGCTCTCTGGTCCGCTCTAAGGCAGATTCCTAGGCTTGCGTGCAGCCCACACAACGGGACAGGGACGCTCCATAGCAGACACTCAGTCAAACCAGGTCCACTATGCCCAGAGCAGCCCAGATACACTCACACTGTGCCCAGCAACCCCTGAACTGCCCACGCCAAAGCTCCCCTGTCGCCACGCTCCCATCCACCGGGACCTGGCCCAGGTGGGCAGTGAGGCTGACAGCTGCCGGCCCTGAGGTGTGACCCACCCCCAGACCCCCAGATGGACCAGCAGCTCCTGCTCACACCCTGACATCTCCAGCACAAGCCGGCTGGGCCAGCCCTGGGACTGGGCACTGTGCCCAGCAGGCTACTAGATCCACCCAGGGACAGGACAGGCTGGTGGCAGGGCACAGCTCCACACCCCTCAATCTGGGGGACCAGGGTGGGGAAGGAGAACCGGCCTCCACCCTCCTCATCTGGGGGTATGCTCCAGACACTGGCGGGTATGTCCTTTTCTGCACATATTTAGATAGAAAAACTTTGCTTTAAGTTTTTTTTTGGGGGGGGGGGGGGAAACTAAGGAAAAGATCTTTCTCTTAAAAAAAAAAAAAAAACTGGCATGGAACTTCCAAGGCTCTTCCGTTCCAGCTGTGACGGCTTTACCGCGCTACGACTCTACCCTGTGCCACTCACCCATCAAGCACACGGCCCCATGGTTCCGGCACTTCGGAGTTGCGCAGCCTTCACCACAATCCATTTTAGAGCATTTCCCTCACCCCAAAAGGAACGTCTACCCACAAGCAGCCACTCCCCTCTCCCTCAGCCCTGAAAGTCTCGGCTTTCCATCTCTACGGGGGGGCCTGTTCCGGACACTTCCCATCAAAAGAATCCCATGCTGCGTGGCCTTTCCTGTCGGGCTGCTGTCACTGGGAGCTGTTTTCACGGCTCATCCACAGCACAGCAGCTAAGAGAATCTCTCTCTTTCCTGTGGCTGAGTGACAGTCCACAGTGGGCCTTATCGGTTCCTTGCTCTTCTGCCCCTTGGTGGGTGACACACAAGCTGGGCCCACCTTGGGGCCACTGTGAACGGTACCGTGCCCAGCCCCCTCTTTTTCTGGGACACAGTATCTGACTCTGATGCTGACTGGGCTGGAGTAAAATGGTGCAATCAGGGCTCAATGCAGCCTCAATCTCCTGGGTTCAAGGGATCCTACCACCTCCGCCTCCTGAAGAGTTGGGACTAAAGTCATGTGCCACCAGGTCCAGCTAGGGTTTTTTTTTTTTTTTTTTTTTTGTGGTAGAGAGAGTCTCGCTATGGTGCTCAGACTCGTCTCAAACTCCTGGACTCAACTGGTCCTCCACGTTGGTGGCCCATGGTGCTGGGCTTACAGGCATGGGCGACCGCGCCTGCCCCACCACTCTCCACGATGCTCACACCCGGCCTTGGGCCCCTAGGAAGCCTTCCCTTGCACCCGGCCCAAACCCAGGGTGCCCCTGTCCAGATTCCAGCAGCTGTGAGTGGGGAAAATGTGGACATTTGTGCTACAAGGAAAGAAACACACCAAGAGACGTGACCCATCGAGGCAGACGCGGCTGACAGACCATGACCCGGGCTCCTGCTGCCCAGCGCAAAAGTTGGGAACAGCCAAGTGTGCTCTGGGTCCTCCCTGGGGACCAGACAGACAGAGCGGGGAGCTGGGAGCAGGAGCTTCTGAGCCCCACTGTGTACCAAGCCCCAGGGACCTCAGAGACATCTCTGCACCCCAACTCTACAAACAGGGAGAACCTCACAGCCCCTGGTACATGAGGGCAGAGACCGAAGCTGCCTGCCTCCAGACTCTAGGCTGCTCCATCCCTCTGAACCCCACCTCCCAGAGAGAACCCTCGCCACGATCAAGACAGTGGCCACTCCAGAGTCTCTGAGCCTCATTTCTGAACACCAGTGGGTGAGAAAGTGAGAGAGATGGAAGGGGAGGGAAGCCTCCCTGGGGCAGGGGCTTGCCTGGGGCCGGGAGAGGCCATCGACACTCAGTGGCCTAATCCCTGCTAGGGGGGGCTGCTCACCAGCCAGCTCAGCCTCGATCGATGCCCCCACAACGCCAGGCCCCTTCGTGAGGCTGGCGCTCGGCCCTGGAACCCTCGTTCTCACCGTGTGCTGGAGCAGGAAGGTCTGTGATTGCTATAATTAACTGGCGTATTCAGCCAGGAGTGAGTCAATGAAACGGATCTGGATTGGGGATGACAAGAGGCAGCGTGCGTCCGCGTCACCTCTGCTGTATGACCTCGAAGATTAGCGCCGAGGCCCACGGGCAGATGTAATTAACAGCTGAGACCCCCCCAGTCAGCCGGGGAGCGGATCGAGGGCGAAAACGGGACCGGAGCACTGCAGCAGCACCTGTCAGCCACCCAGGCTCGGCCCACCCCGCCAGCCAAAAACCATGTCACCCCCTGGAGAGTCCTCAGCCTTTAAGAGGCGCCTAGAGGCCAGGCCTCGGTGTACTGGAGACGGAGGTGGGTGGGGCCTTGCCACGGTCAGGCCCTAAAGCCACAAGCCATGGCCAGGCCAGCGAAGAGCATGGAAGGAAAGGGGAGGGTGGACACTCAGAGGGGAAAGGCTCCCCAGCTGCCGTCCGGCTCAGCCCTCAGCCCCTACCCACCCCGAGCCTAGCCACGCTGCATTGAATCAGGGGGGTGACAGAGCACCAAGGCGACTAGCAGACGCACTTCCCTAAAGAGGGTCCCTGAAATGTCTCTGTGAGATGCCCACTCTCGTGGCCAGGACTGCCCAGAGCTAAGCAGGGCCAGAGCCCCAGGGGACGGCTCAGGTGTCCAAAGCCCGTGCCTACCCCACGCTGCCAATGGAGACACAGTGAGGGGCAGCTCGAAGAGAGGGGTGAGTGACAGAGCTCTGTCTCAGCCCCGCAGAAGGAGGGTCCCCAGCTGCGTGTTGCCTCCTGCTTTCAACCATGCGGGGGCAGGTGCCAGCCAGGGAGGGAGCCCAGGGGATCCTGTGTGTCCACGCACCTGGGGGTTCTTCCCTCCTATCTTCTGTTCTGTCCCCAAGTCAGTATTCAAATTTTTTTGAGACGGAGTCTTGCTCGGTCACCAGGCTGGAGTGCAGTGGCTCCATCTCGGCTCACTGCAACCTCCAACACCCAATTCAAATAATTCTCCTGCTTCAGCCTCCCCAGTAGCTGGGATTACAGGTGCATGCCACCACACCCAGCCTATTTTTCTA